GGGACGCGCCCCGGGGTGGGCACGGGGGAGTCGTCGGGAGCGCGCGAGGGCGCCGGAGGACCGGGAGAGACCCCAAGACCCCCGGGGCACGAAGTCCAGAGTAAGCGGGTAAGCGGAGAGAAGGTGGCGGGGCAGGGCCAGGGCCGCGGAGGGAGGAAGGGGGGGAAGAAGAGGGGGGAACTCGGGACTCGAGCGGGGAGGGAGTGGAAGTGGAGGAAAGGGCGGAGACTGGGGCGCGGGGAGCCGAAGTCTTGGGGAGAAGGATGGGGAGGCGAGAGGAGTGCTGGTCGGACGCGGGCATTTAAGGGTCCGCTTCTTAGAGTTCCCTAGAGCCGGGGTGCCGCGCCCCCTGCCACCAGGCGGGGGTAGTCTCAAGGAGGCGCCACCGGCCCTCCCACTCCTGGACGGGCTCCAGACCGCCCCCCTCCCTGTGACCCCCCACACAGGGGCGCCCAGCCAGGGGATTGCCCGGGGCCTCCGCCCCCAATCTACGGGTTGGGAGGCGGAGCCAGGAAAGGGGGGTGGCGGGTCAGGTCAGGACAAGGGGTCAGGCAGAAGAGGGAGCAGCTGGGTGGGGATGGGAAAGACGAGCCCGAAGAGTTGGACCTGACTCTCGGGGGGCCGGTTTGTCTGGGCAGGGAGCTCCGTGCTGGGTGTGGGGGATGGTGCTGCCTGAAATCCAGGGTCCAGTTTATTCTCTCCTGCCAGTCCCATGTCGAAGAGCTGTGGAATGTACGAATTCACTTGGCGAGTGGTTAATGCCCAAGTAGGGGTCCGAGATGCTAATCCCTTGGGCAAGGGGAGAGATGCTAATCCTCTGGGCCGGTCGGGGCTGGTCCCCGGAATGTGCCCCCACCCGGATTATCGGCACCGATTCTTTGGACAGAAGCTGCTTTGTGTTCTGGGATAGTGGGGGAGGGGGAGGAGGGGCGTGAGTAGAGGGAGGAGGAGGACGATGGAGGAGCACACTGAGGGCACAGCCAGTGGGTGGGAGTGGGCACCTGCAGGTGCTCAGGACAGACTCCCTACACCTGTCCCAGACTGGGTCCCCCACACCGAACTGCCCTGGCTGAAGACCTGCTGAGGGGGAGGTGAAAAGAATGGTCTGCTGAGTTGGAGTGCTTATGTGTCACCAGACTCCCCATTCTGGGTGACCCCCAGGCCTATATGGTTTGACCCTACACTGACCTGTCTTAAGCCTAAGTTGTGCAACCCTGACTCCCCAGCAACACATTGGGGAACTTCAGTCTTGTTGCCTTTGGAGGACCTTGGGTGCCCCCTGCGCTGCCCCACTAGAAATGGGTCCCCAATTTGCAGCTTCTTCCCTGCAGCTCCTCTTCTGGCCCGCCACCATACATTGTCCTCCCCAAACTCCCCTACAGTCATGGTCAGGAGGGTGGCAGCTCTGCCACTCAGATTTTCCTGGCCCAGTCTCAGGGGGGAGGGATTCAGACTGACCCTTGGGGCAGAACCTCAGGGCTTCTGTTCCCACCCCCTCCCAGCCTGTCATGTGCCCCTGCCCCATTTAAAGCTCTGCCCAGCCTGTGCCCACCTTCTGTCCCATCCTTCTGCCCACTGAGCGAGTGGAGTTGGGCTCCTGTCCTTCACCCAGTGCACCTCCTGCCTGCTGGCACAGACCTGGGGGAGGGGAGTCTTCTGCCCAGCCTGCATTGAGGAGGGGGTGCCCGCCCCCCTGCAGGAGGGTGTCTTGGGCTCTTGCCAGAGTTTTTCCTCTCCCTTTCCTTCCTGTCTCTGCAGCCTGCCCCCTGTTCCACGAGGTGCCTGGCTTTCTCCACCACACCCCTCTCTAGTCTCAGGCCCACCTCCAGTGGATGCCACCACCTCGGCACAGTTCCCATTTCTGTCTCAGCCCTTCACTCCCCTTCTTTCCCTACTCTTTATCACTCCCTCCCTGATTTCTGTTGCTTTCTCTCCTGGTCTTGGCTCCTTGGCGCCTTTCTCTCTCATTTTTTCTTGCAGCCTCTCCCACCTTCTGCTCTCTCCTCCACTGTTCAGTTTCTTGGCCCTTTTTGGCCCCTTTGCCTCAGTCCTCTCCTTTGTCTCTTTGTTCTCTTTTCTTCCTATAAATAACTCTTCTCTTTGCTCTTGCCGCCTCTAAGGGCCACTCTAAGGCCCTTCATAGTCTAGGAGGATCCTGAGCAGCGTGGAGACCCGTTGCAGGCCCGACTTTTTTCCTCCCCTGCCTGGCGCCCTGTCGCCCGGTCGCCCTGTCGCCCGGCCTGCTCTCGGATGGTGATTGGGCCTCTCCCACTCCTAGGTTATGCCTCCGCCTCGTTGCCCTGAAAGCCGCAGCGACAGCGAAAAGGGCTAAGATTTGGCCATGAGCAGCGCCCCCCGGCGCCCGGCCTCGGGCGCAGATTCTTTCCGCACGGTGAGTGTTGCCCACTGGGTCAGCTGGGCCTCGATCTTAGCTTCCCGCCACCTCCCTGGCGGCCTCAGGTGCTCTGGCCGAGGGTCCATGCCAATCAGATGTGTGTGTGTGTGTAGCTCAGGAGGGTACTGCCATCCACATCCTGACCTTGCACGATAATTGTAGGGGGGGGATGGGGATTGGGGATCGGGCATCTTCCAGTTTTGGGGAAGGAGTTGAGATTGTTTCCTGAAGCCCCAAGTAGCTTAGTCTCAGTAGGAGAGGAACGTTGAGGTCTCTGGGTCTCTAACCTAGCAACCCCTTTCTGACCCAGTCTTAGAGGCAGAGGTCAAGTCGGCGGCTGGCAGAGGTTCTGGGCGGAGCTTGCTGGCGATGTCTGGCTCCACCCTC